GAGACGGAGGCTGAGAGTGGTTCTGTCAATTCTCGAGGTCGCACGAGGTGTGTGCGGCATAGCCAGGAAGAGCACCCAGGTATCTCAGGCCCCAGGGCCCTGCCCTGGGCCCTCACGGCTACCTGGGACCCCCACCGCCAAACAAGACGAGGCCAGCTCCATTCCCCGACTGTGACGTGGGCTTGCCACCTGACTGGATCCCTGTGGCAACTTGTCTTTGTCCCCATGTTACAGATGAGGCAACTGAGGCCCAGAGAGGCTACGTGAAGGGCCCACGGCTGCCCGGTGAGAAAGGACAGACTCACGGAGCTGCACAGCGGCCTTGGCAGGACTCCTCCCGACTCAAGGTCCGCCTTTGTCAGACCGCAGAGGCCCCGTGGGCTCCTCCACTGAGTGGGACAAGGATGTGAGATGCCCGTGCTGCTACCAGAGATGGGACAAGGGAAAAGCTGGAGCCTCTGGAAGCAGGGAGGGGCCCACGTTACCAATTCATCAGAATCGTCCCTAGATCGTCCCATTCCCAGCAGGGAGAAAGAGAGAGAGAGAAACATCAATGCGTGGTTGCCTCTTTCATCCCCCAGCCAGGGACCTGGCCTGCACCCCAGGCACGTGCCCTGGCTGGGAATCGAACCAGCAACCCTTTGGTTCGCAGGCCAGTGCTCAGTCCATTCAGCCACACCAGCCAGGGCATGACAGTTCCATTTCTGTCATCCAGACAATCTAATCAACACATTTTTAAGCATCCCGAGCACATGGCGGGCGCGGGAGGAAATCAGAGTTCAGCAGGGAGCTGGCACAAACGATGAGGAAGGTTCCCGCGGGGAGGAGCATTAAAGTGCTGCGGGGAGCGGTGCCAGGGGCCTGGGCGTGGGAGGGGAGCCCACGCCGGCGACAGCCCGGTTGCCGCGCTGCCCCTGCATCCCCCCGTGTCCCCACGCGTGGGCTAGTTCCCCTGTCTACCCTCATTCTCTCCTGCAGCGGTCGCAACCCAGCGGTGCCCCCAGACGTCAGGATGGAACCTCTGTCCCCTGTGGGATCGATCCACACACATCGCACATTCCTCACCAGCCCCCGTGTGGCCGCCGAAGGCCGAAGGCCGTGTCGATAGAAGGAACCCAGTTTCTGCCCCCGCCTGACCCCTGTCTCGCGCCCCCTCCCTTAGTCCCCTCCGGGGCTCCTGCAGACACTCACCTTCAGGAAGGAGGGACAGGGCCCACGTCCTGGGCAGAGCTGTCCGAGCGCAGAGGCTGAAGGAAGCTGGTCCCCTCACCGGGGGAGATTTTAAGCCGAGGCCGGGAATGATGTCATTTGCTGTGTGGCCTGGATCTCAGGGGGTAATCCTGGCCTGGGTGGGGGACTGGACTGGGCGCCAGGAGGTGACTTTGGCCGGGAGGGGGAGGGGCACCCATCTGCCTAATCCCCTCCTCCCCCTACCACGCCATCTTGGCAATCAGGGTTGATGGGGAAGGGAAGCCCCATCTCCTGCCTGTGACCAGGAGCCCCCACTCCTCAGGGCAGTTCTTTCTCGGGTCTAACTGGTGTCCCTCGAGCTTCAGCTACTGTCCCACGAAAGAGTAAGGGGAAAAGTGCTGGGTGTTCCTGAGGGATCATTGGAAAAATGAGAAAACAGGGCTTTCTGGGCCCCTCTCCTGGGTCGCCCTTTCTCTTCCCAGCATCTGCCAATTAATTCGTCTCTGCTCTGCCCCAGTGTCTTGGGGTATCTGCGCCTCAGTTTCTCTTTTCTTTGGGCCTTCGATGACACCACCTCTGCCAGTTTGCCAGAACGCCCCTCTCCTATTCTCCGTCTCTGTCTTTCTCTGTCCCGGTCTTTATCGATTTACCTGCATTTCTATCTTGGCCTCTCAGTCTCTGTGTCTCACTCTCTCTCTGGGACTCGGTCTGTCTCTGTCTCTCAGCCTCTGTGTCTCTCTGTCCCTGTTCCCTTGTCCGTCCGCCTGTCCCTGTAACTCCAGGCTACCCTCAGAACCTCTGTCCTTCTTTATCCAGCCTCTTAAGCTCCAATCTCTCTTCCTGTTTCTTTCTGTTTCCCCTGCTTCCTCCAATTCTTGCTCTTCCTAAATGTCTTTTCGTTTCTCCCTATCTCGATACTTCTCTTGTCCTGTACTTCTGGTGGTCCTTGTCTCTCTCAGGCTGTGTTTTCCTCTTTCTGTCTCTCTGAGCTCCCGGTCCCCATGGGGGTCTGTTCTACTTCCCCATATACGCAAACATGCATGCGCACACACACGCGTGCCCGAGATCATGGTAATCCCGCCGGTGGCTGGTCCTTGCGTCTCCCCATAAGGGGCCCTTTCTTTCTTGGCCTCCCCCTAAACTCCCTGCTAGCAGAGATTAAGGCCAGAAGCCTGGCTGGGGAATCAGGGCGGGACACAGTCACTCGAAGAGCCAGGGGTGACAGGGAGGGAGGGGCCATCTGACCCACAGACCAGCCAGGGGGCCACTTGCTGGGAGGATGCGTCCTACAACAGAGCACCCCGTCCACCGGCGCAGGGATGGAGAGGTGGCTGGGCGGGAAGAGGAAAGAGCAAACAGGTCCTTGCAGGCTCCCAGGAGAAGGGTCAGCTACTCTGGAGTTTTGGCTCTGGGGCTCTGGGCGGGAGGGTGTGGAAAGGTGGGTTTCAGCTCATTTGCCGGGCCGAGAGGTCAATTAAACTGAGTCCAAATCCACAAAGGACACCCTGAGGCAAATCGCTTCCCCTCCCCCCGCCACCCCCGCAGGGGGAAACCTTGACACTTAGCTTTTCCCTCCTCATTTTTCCTCCACTCCCCTGTCCAATCCATCCATAACCCTTTCAGTGGCTCTCCTAGCCAGGTGTGAGGGAAATGTTGATTGGTTTGCCCTTCCCACACGCCCTGGGGGACTGAGCCTGAAGCCTACCTGACCGGGAATCTACCCAGTGGCCTTTCAGTTCAAGGGATGGAGCCCAACCGGGGCCTTTTCATGGTGATTTTAGAATGTACTCTTTCTACTTATAAAATTTTTTCTTCTTTCAGAGAATTGTCCTGTTGAAAACTTCAAAACACTGATGGGAGAAATAAAAGGAGACCCCAGTCAATGATGAAATACCATGTTCATGGATGGGAAAACTCAATATTGATTGTTCAAATATCCATCATTTAAACTAATCTTTTTTTTTTGTTTTGTTTTGTTAATCTTCACCTGAGGGTATGTTTAATGATTTTAGAGAGAGAAGAAGTGAGAGAGAGAAAGAGGTTGAGAGAAACATCCATATGATAAAGAAACATGGATTAGTTGCCTCCCATATGCACTTCAACCAGGGATTGAACCCACAACCTAGGTATGCACCCTGACCGAAATCAAACCCACATTCTTTTGATGTGCTGGATGATGCTCCAACTAACTGAGCCAACTAGCTGGGGCTCAAACTAATCTTTGGATTCACTGCAATTCCAATCAAAATTCTAGAAGGATGTTTTTGTAGAAATTGACAAGCTAATTCAAAAGTCTATATGGAAATTCAAAGGAAATTCAAACTTACACTACTTGACTTCAAGACTTATTGTTTCCACAGTGATCAAAACAGTGTGGTGTTGCATAAGAACAAACAAATAGGTCGCTGGAACGGAATGGGCAGTTTAGAAATTGACCAAAACTTTATGGTCAACCGATTTTTCACAGAAGTGCCAATGCACGTTAACAGGGAGGTCTTGTTGATAAATAGCGCTTGAATAACTGGATGGCTACATGGGAAAAAACAAAACCAAAAACCTCAATCTCTGTCTCACACAACACACAAAAATTAATTTGTGATAGATTATAGTCCTAAATGTGAAAAAGCAAAAGCATGAAACTAGAGGAAAAAAAAAAAAAGAAAAATAGTTTCTTGACCTGAGAGTAGGTAAAAGTTTCTTAGGCAGAACACAGAAAAACAATAACCATGAAATAGAAAATTGGTAAATTAGATTTGATCGAAATTGAAAAATCCTACATTTCAAGAAATATCATTAGGTTAAAGAAAATGTTAACCATGGTGTGTTAAAAAGAATTTGCAAAATATGCAGGTGGCAATGACATTGTGTTCAGAATACATAGGACACCTTAAACTCAGTAATAAAATAGCTGGAATAGACACGTCACACGAGATATACAAATGGCTGATATGCTCACACATACAAAAAAAAAACCCCAAAACAACACTCACCATTATTTGTCATTAGGGAAATACAAATTAAAAACATAGCAAGATACCACTACATGCTCACCAAAATGGCTATGACGAAAAAGTGTGATATCATAAATGTTGGTGAGGTTGTGAAACAACGGGAACTCTCCCACCCTGCTGCCGGGAATGCCACGGGACAATCACTTTGGGGAGCTGCTGGGCTGTTTTCTCTAAAGCAGAACTATTTATCCTGTAAATTGAGCCAGTAATTCTACCCCCATGTACAGTCACGGGCCACAGGACGATGTTTGGGGTCAACAGAGGACCGCGTAAATGACAGGGTCCTATAGATTGTAAAGGGGCTGAAGAATTCCTATGCCTAATGACATTGTAGCATTCTTAATGTTGTAGCGTAACTCCTTACTCGGGTGTTTGTGGTGAAGTTGGTGTAAACAAGCCTGCTCCTCCATCAGTCATATAAAAGTCCAGCAATTCTGTATAGTAGGTAATACTTGATAATGATAATATATGACGATGTTACTGGTTTATGTATTTATTATGCTATACATTTCGTCATGATTTTATATAGTATATATATATATTTTTTATTTTTTGTTTTAGAAAGAGGGGAAGGGAGGGAGAAAGAGAGGGTGAGAAGCATCTATGTGAGAGAGAAACATTGATTGGTTTGCTTTCCCTTTGCCCCCGGGGACCAAACCTGCCACCCGGGTATGTGCCCTGACCAGGAATTGAACTAGTGACCTTTCAGTTCATGGGATGATGCTCAACCAGCTGAGGACTTTTTATCATGATTTTAGAGTGTACTCTTTCTTTCTACTTATGAAAAAAGTGTGCTGTATACTTACCTGGCAGGGGAGGTCCCATGATCGTGAAGATGGTTTTCCCAGGGCGAGGCTCACCCATTGCTCTCTGGGTGTGCCGACCTCTGCGATATCCCCAAGTGTGGGAAACTCGCCTGCGTAATTTGTGGTGGTGGGCGACTGTGTTCGCGCTCTCCCCTGGAAAAAGAAGAAAAGAAAAAGTGTGTTGTAAGACAGTACACCATGTCACACCAGCAGCAACCTCATACATCTCGTGTTTACCGTCTCTCTTGGTCGAAACATTTTCTCTTGCACTTGAATTAACCTCATGTTGTTTTGCACAATAACAGATTTGTCACTCAGGAGCGATAGGCTAGCTGGACCATACAGCTTAGGCAGGTGCTACGCTAGACCATCTAGGTTTGTGCAAGTGTATTCTACGATGTTCGCACAATGATGAAATCACCTAAAGACCAAATACTGGTCCCAAATGGGAAACAACTCAAATGTCTATCAAGCTGTAAAAGAATAGACTCTAACACAGGCATAAAATGGAATACTACTCAGCAGTGCAAAAGGAACTGTCTGCTGCGTGTACAACTCACAGGTGGTTCCTGTGCTGAGCAACATTATGCTGAGCGAGGCCAGACACACAGAGAGCACACCGCACGTCATGTTGTGATTTATAATAAGAAATACGTGTTTGTCTTAGACCCAGTCCTGGCGGCAGAGCTTCTCAAACCCTTCGAATTCCCTGTGATGAGACTGATAAAGGTATCTTTTGTTATGCTATTGAGATTCCTTTTGGAAAGCCGCTCATGATCTATGGATGGGCTGCTTGCCAGGGAAAGCAACACAGGATTAGAGGGCGGGAATTTTAGTTCTCCCCACCCCCACCTCCTGGGACTTGAGAGTGTCTGGAGTTTGAGCTTAATTGCCAACAGCCAATGATGCAATCAACTACGCCTATGTAATGGAGCAGCCATAAAAACCCAAAAAGATGGGGCTCTGAGAGCTTCTAGGTTGGTGAACCAGAACACATGCGCGTGCCCGGAGGGTGTCATGCCCCAAGTTGCCCAGTGACAGAAGTTCCTATGTTTGGGGCCCTTCTGGACCTTGCCAAACATACCCCATTCAACTAGCTGTTCTTACCCTTTCATCTCCTTTTATAATAAATGGGGAATCTAGTAAGTAAATGGTTTCCTGAGTGCTGTGAGCTGCTCTAGCAACTTCATCAAACCTGTGAAAGGCGAAGTAAAATGGAGTCACTTACGTCAAGGGTTTTTAAATGGAGGTGGGAGGCCACTAAGGAAGTGGACCTCATGCCTGTCCTCACCAGGTGGAGCCATGAACTTTTAAACTGGGCCAATCCACAAATATTTCAAGGACTCTGCAGAAAATGCCTGCCACTTGCTACAGTCATTGGACTTTGGCTTAGCGATAGCTTTAGCAAACCACTCCTGTTCGGTCAAGACTAGCTTTCTGCTTCCAACACAATCAAAACTCTTTCTAAACAACTCATGCACACATTCCTTTTTTCTTTTTCCTATTTTTTTTTTTTAAACCTGACTTTGCTCCCAAGTGGGATACTCTTTGGGTTGCTACCCAGATCTGTGAATCCAGACTTGCCATTCCTTGATCCCAGATAAAAATCTTTTGCCTGATTATTGCTCCTGAAAAATTGTAGGTTGAGAAAACCAAAGAGGAGGTCATGGGACCATCCCATTTATAGCCGGTTGGGCAGGACCACAGGTGACAACCAGGACTTGCAAGGTTTTCTGAAGGGGGCGGGGGAGTCTTGTGGGGCTGAGCTCTTAGCCCGTGGGACAGGTCGCTCTTGTAAACAACGGCAGAAACGGAGCCACTTTGAAATGGAGCCAAGTGGCCCTCTCAGAAGAAAGGCTTTGAGCATCTTATACCCCAAACCCCTGGAATGTTAAAAACAGGGCAAAATGACCCTTGAGCTGGGCCTCCGCGATCTTGTTGTCCCAAAGGACTGTTTACAGAGAGCACGTTGGCCTCAGGCTGAGGACTAGTGGGGTGAAAATTAAAAACCCTGTTTAGAATTTACGTAACTGTGTTATCTGCACCAGGAGAAACTCCTTCCTTCTCTTGCTGTCATTGTCCCCTTGTCTTTCTCATAAATCCCGCCCCCCCCGCCCCCCCCGCCCCCCCCCCCCCCCGCCGCCGCCTTTGTCTCCGAATTGGAACTCTAGTTGGGCTTCTGTCTGAACCCTTGCGCCCTGCAGAGCTTCTTATTCTTATTGATCTCCAATAAACATTTATTCCTCTCTCAGTTTGAAAAGACTTTTTATGTTCAAGGTAACACTGTCTCCAGACAGATGGTGTCAGAATCGAGTTAATCACTTGGAGGTGTTAGAAAAGACGTATCAGACTGTAGAATTACCAAGTTCAAGGACACATAGAGGAGGGAGGTATAAAGGGACTAAATGGCAATGGAAAAAAATATAATAAAGATGATATATTAAAAGAGAGAGAGAGAAAGAGAGAGAGAGAGAGAGAGAGAGAACACACAAGCGCTGGGCTGGGTGGCTCCGTTGGTTGGAGCGTTTACCTGCACCCCAAAAGGTTGTGCGTTCAATGCCCAGTCAGGGCACGTACCTAGGTTTCACGTTTGTTTCCTGGGTCAAGGCACGTACAGGAGGCATCCGATCAATGTTTCTCTCTCTCTCTCCCCCTTCCTTTCTAAAGTCAGTATTTATATCCTCGAGCAAGGATTGAAAAACGATACACAAAAAATGTTAAATAAGAAAATGGTAGCCAGAGGCTGGGGTGGCGGGGGAGGATGGAGAATGGAGAGGACTTAATGGGAGAGGGTTTCTTTTGGTGGGGGCAAAAATATTCTGCAGCTAGGTAGTGGCGATGAGTGCGTGGCATTGTGAACGCACAAAACTCCACTGAATGGCAGACTTTAAAACGGTGAATTTTATGGTATGCGAGTTAGCGCTCTCTCTATCTGTTTTAAGTCAGAAAAGTAATTGCCCCCCGAGGAGAGGGGGTACGGACTGCAAAGTGGCAGGAGGGAGCTTTCCGGGTGGTGAAAATGTTCTGTATCTTGGTAGGGTATAGGAGAAAAGCATTTGTCAAAGACCCTTTGAGAACAGCTGCTTTTCTGCAATAAAAAGGAATGAATCACGAGACACACAGGACGCAAATGGATTTCACAACCCTGATGCTGAACCAAAGGAGCCAAATAGAATAGAGCGTGCAGTGGAGAGACGGGAGAGGGGAGGGAATGGGCGTGAGGCGCGCTCCAGTTCACGCAAGTGGCAAAATCTGGCAGCCAGAGAGTGCTTGCCATTGGTCGGGAGGAGGGGGCAAGTTGGGGGACAGAGACGGGCTTCTGGGGTGCCGATGGTGTTCGTGTCTCGTTCTAGGTGCCGGTAAATTGGGTTCACTTTGTGAAGATTCATCAAGATGTACTTTTTTCACACGTAAAAGAGATACACAGGAAAATGGAGACAGCTATACCTGAACAACAAAATGAAAAAAGATACAAATAGATAAACACATACATAGGTGTTGTTTCACATTATATATTATGTTATTATTATATTTTATATGTTATATATAAAACTCCCTGGGCTCCAACAGGGCTTGCGGAGCCTGTGGTACTAGACCAGGTCCTGGGGACATTAACGCTGCAGTGACTGAACCATGGGGACACTCAGGGCTCCCATAAAACCAGGCCAAAGCTCCCCATCCCAGGAGCCTTGGAACCCGGAGAAACGAGGGCCTCAGTCCTGATGGGGACTGAGGAGCGCGTTCCCACCGGCGACCGTAGCCCCCACGCGGGTGGTCAGAGCGCTGGGCGGGCCGTTTGCTCCGGGGGCGGGGGCTGCCACCGCCGGCCTTCACAGGGGAAAGCAGACTCGGAGTGCCTGCCGGGGACACACAGTTAATGATGAACAGGAGCGATATTTGGGCCTGCGCCTGTCTGCCCGACAAAACCGTGCCCTCGATGTCCCTGCCGCACGCGGCCGGGGGCCGAAGGGGTCTTCTGCCGAGGCAGACATGCCTGAGCCGCTCCAGCTCTCCGAAGCTGCCGAGGACCCAGAGACGTGCTGTTGCTATCAGTTGCGTCTCTCACTGCTTACTGTGTTACAAACTGAATTAGAGGAGTTTAAAAAATATATTCAAATTGATTAAAAATGTATTTAACATCGTGCATTAACATTTTTTCTTGCCCTGGCCAGCTGGTGCAGTTGATCGGAGGGCCCTCCCGCACACGGAAAGGTTTCGGTCCATCCTGTGTCGGGGCGCCTCTGGGAGGCAACTGATGGATGTTTCTCTCTCTCAAAACAATAAACATATCTTCGGGTGAGGATCAAAGAATATCTTTTTTTCTTTAATGCTTTATACTTGGACACCCTAAAGCTGCAAGATCACTCATGTCAGAGAGCCCAGGCTCTGCATAGATTCCTGGCAGATCAGACCCTTCCAGAACTTTCTCAGGGCATGAACTCCCAGGCCATCTCTCTTTCATCTCCGGCTCAGACGCCCCCAGAGCCTCGTTTTCCCAGCCTCCGGCACTACCTGTGGCCCCCAGGGGGACAAAGACAGGAGAACTGGTAGGAAATCAGGATTTAGGTTCAGGATAAATTTATTTATTTATTTTTTAATTTTTATTTTTAGACAGAGGGGAAAGGAGGGGGAAAGAGAGGGAGAGAAACAGCAATGCACGGTTGCCTTTCTCATACCTGCTACTGGGAACCTGGCTGGCAACCCAGGCCTGTGTCCGGACTGGGGATAGAACCAGCAACCCTTTGGTTTGCAGGCTGACGTTCAGTCCACTGAACCACACCAGCCAGGGCATCAGGATAAATTTTAAACATCAAGTGTTGCCATCCTCCTAACCCTTTAGTGATGTTTCCTGCACAGCTGGGGACCGCGACCCCTCTATTCCCTCACCCTTCCCTCTGCCCCGCTGCTCCATCTCCTCTGCCTCCCCGCTGTGGCCGTCCTGGCCCCTTCGTCTCCCCCAGCCGGTTCTCTGACCCTGTCCTGGTCCCATTTAGCAAATGCTCCAATCCTCTTAGGCCAGGCCAGCCCTGGCAGAGCAGAGAGAGAATTAGATCAGATTTGGGGGATGGGCGAGCGACAGGCTATGTGTATGTGCGTCGGGGGTGGAGAGGCGGAGAGCGGACAGACCGTGGGGCAGAATGGAAACTTGTGCCTAT